TGCATATACAGTATATTACCATGACTCAGAAAATGATTTACCTGCCACACACACACAAACTACTCTAATCAAGCACGCACGCACGCAAGCACACACACACACACACAGAGAGGGGGATATCCTGAAAGATTACCATTTTAATAATATGTTTAATATGATTCGTTATACTTTTTTATTTATAAGTTGAAATACTTTTGAAAATGAAGAAAATTACAATAAAACATACATATTATGTTGTTATATTATAAAATAAAAACATTAAAAAATATAATATGATTCATATTAGTTGTTGCACACTTATTTAATTAAATTAATTTCTTATTATTGCTATACTATACTATACTAATTAAAGTAAGTGCATATACAGTATATTACCATGACTCAGAAAATGATTTACCTGCCACACACACACAAACTACTCTAATCAAGCACGCATGCAAGCACACACACACACACACAGAGAGGGGGATATCCTGAAAGACATGTTGTACAAAGACTTCCCCACACAAGGAGTGCATGCATATTTTATGAAAAGTCAACAGATTGCCGTGTTCCGAGCCTGATGTCTCTTATTGCTTCTCCGTCCCCAGCTGTGTCCCAGCAGCCCGTGTTAGATCATTGTGTTCACGGACGAGTCCTACACAAAGCCGCACAGAGGGAGCAGTTAGAGCACTTGCAGAGACGAATTAATCGAGCTTGCTTATTCTAAGACCGGCCACAATGGGCAGATTCCATAGAGGATTCACTATAATCCTGGAGAGGGATCAGCGCTATCAAGGCTCGCAGGAAGTTTACTGTACGTAGGAGATTCTGACAAATTGGAACAAAAGAGTAAATATGAATTTCTGTCACGTAAAATGTAAAATCAGGAAGTAGTAGGCTACTCAAGTCAGTGTGATCACATCTGCAAAACTTGCTGCCACAATGCCTGGGAGTTCTGAGTGTTTTTCAGCATGTTGCTAGATGGTTACATACTAAGTCTAAGTCTCTGTGATGCTCTGGTCTTCAGATATGACTCGGCTCCCTCCTTGTATGTAAGTACATGTAATGTACATTTTATTGTATGCAGAGCAATAAAACATCATGGGCCCTATTTTAACGATCTAAGCGCAAGGTCTAAAGCGCACGGCGCAAGCACTTGCAGAGACGAATTAATCGAGCTTGCTTATTCTAAGACCGGCCACAATGGGCAGATTCCATAGAGGATTCACTATAATCCTGGAGAGGGATCAGCGCTATCAAGGCTCGCAGGAAGTTTACTGTACGTAGGAGATTCAGACAAATTGGAACAAAAGAGTAAATATGAATTTCTGTCACGTAAAATGTAAAATCAGGAAGTAGTAGGCTACTCAAGTCAGTGTGATCACATCTGCAAAACTTGCTGCCACAATGCCTGGGAGTTCTGAGTGTTTTTCAGCATGTTGCTAGATGGTTACATACTAAGTCTAAGTCTCTGTGATGCTCTGGTCTTCAGATATGACTCGGCTCCCTCCTTGTATGTAAGTACATGTAATGTACATTTTATTGTATGCAGAGCAATAAAACATCATGGGCCCTATTTTAACGATCTAAGCACAAGGTCTAAAGCGCACGGCGCAGGTGCACTTAGGGTGTGTCCAAATCCACTTTTGCTATTTTAACAACGGTAAAACGGTTGGCACGCCCGGGCGCATGGTCTAAACGGGTTGTCCCTATTCTCTTAATGAGTAATGGGTGTTTTTTGGGCGTAACGTGCAATAAACCAATCAGAGTCTCATCTCCCATCCCCTTTAAAAGCCAGTTGCGCTCGCACCATGGCGGGTTCGCTATTTACACGGCAGAATGTAGTGATGGGAGAAACAAAGCTTTTCGAAGCACTGAATCAATTGATCCAATTGCTTCGAAAAATTATTCAATGTTTCGAAGCACTTGAAACAGCACATGCTGGCGACACCTGCTTATGTTGTTATATTATAAAATAAAAACATTAAAAAATATAATATGATTCATATTAGTTGTTGCACACTTATTTAATTAAATTAATTTCTTATTATTGCTATACTATACTATACTAATTAAAGTAAGTGCATATACAGTATATTACCATGACTCAGAAAATGATTTACCTGCCACACACACACAAACTACTCTAATCAAGCACGCACGCACGCAAGCACACACACACACACACAGAGAGGGGGATATCCTGAAAGACATGTTGTACAAAGACTTCCCCACACAAGGAGTGCATGCATATTTTATGAAAAGTCAACAGATTGCCGTGTTCCGAGCCTGATGTCTCTTATTGCTTCTCCGTCCCCAGCTGTGTCCCAGCAGCCCGTGTTAGATCATTGTGTTCACGGACGAGTCCTACACAAAGCCGCACAGAGGGAGCAGTTAGAGCACTTGCAGAGACGAATTAATCGAGCTTGCTTATTCTAAGACCGGCCACAATGGGCAGATTCCATAGAGGATTCACTATAATCCTGGAGAGGGATCAGCGCTATCAAGGCTCGCAGGAAGTTTACTGTACGTAGGAGATTCTGACAAATTGGAACAAAAGAGTAAATATGAATTTCTGTCACGTAAAATGTAAAATCAGGAAGTAGTAGGCTACTCAAGTCAGTGTGATCACATCTGCAAAACTTGCTGCCACAATGCCTGGGAGTTCTGAGTGTTTTTCAGCATGTTGCTAGATGGTTACATACTAAGTCTAAGTCTCTGTGATGCTCTGGTCTTCAGATATGACTCGGCTCCCTCCTTGTATGTAAGTACATGTAATGTACATTTTATTGTATGCAGAGCAATAAAACATCATGGGCCCTATTTTAACGATCTAAGCGCAAGGTCTAAAGCGCACGGCGCAGGTGCACTTAGGGTGTGTCCAAATCCACTTTTGCTATTTTAACAATGGTAAAACGGTTGGCGCGCCCGGGCGCATGGTCTAAACGGGTTGTCCCTATTCTCTTAATGAGTAATGGGTGTTTTTTGGGCGTAACGTGCAATAAACCAATCAGAGTCTCATCTCCCATCCCCTTTAAAAGCCAGTTGCGCTCGCACCATGGCGGGTTCGCTATTTACACGGCAGAATGTAGTGATGGGAGAAATGAAGCTTTTCGAAGCACTGAATCAATTGATCCAATTGCTTCGAAAAATTATTCGATGTTTCGAAGAACTTGAAACAGCACATGCTGGCAACACCTGCTGGTGAAAACGTTGTAAAAGCATCAAGAACTCAGACCAAACTTACAAAACAAATGGAAATGTTTTTTTAGAAATACCATTTTTTATAATAAATAATAAACACTTAAATACTATTAAATATTAGTGCTTGTGTTATGTGTTTTAAGTATAATCAAACCCTAAACACACAATGAACTAAATTATTTAATTAATTAAGTGTTTTCATTAGAGCTGTCTATAAAAACCAGCAGGCAAGAGTAGTGTTATCAGTCAGGAGAAGGAGGTGGATTTAATTCTATCGTAAGCTCATTTGGTTATTTTTAAGGTATGTGATTTGTAGGTTGAAAGTACTGAATGTTTTTACAAAAATGTTTAAACTATATAGCCATCTGTGTTAAAGTGAAGTCATCCTTTGTTTAACCCACAACATCTGGCCCTGAATTCTTTATTTTTTACAGTAAAATTTTGTGTCACATGATTAACTGGGCAACCAGAAGTGGTTCATGGGTTCACTTTGAGATCAACACCCCCTAGTGGTGAACCATCGGAGTTTCTAAACGTTTCAAAACAGTGTGACGTAACGAAGCTTCATTTGTTGAAATCACGTGAACTGGCCGGTTTGACACGCGCTCCGAAACACTGATTCGAAACAAAAGATTTGCAAATGTTTCGAAGCTTCGTGAAGCAGTGTTTCGAATGCGCCCATCACTAGCGGAATGTAATTTTTCATTTTTAAAAATGTTTGTGTGCGTAATATTACACCCTGTGTGTGTAATAAGCAAAGTGTGCGCACATTGTGCACCCGCCTATTGGCACATATTACTAACGCGTTCTTTAAATAACAAAGAAAAAATATTGCGCCAGACTTTAGACCAGGTTTGAGTTGGTCTATGGCGCAGTCTATTTTCAATTCCTCAAAATAGCAACGCGCCAACAATGCGCCTGAACACACCTCTTTTTTTAGACCAGCACGCCCATGGGCGCACAAATGGGCGCAAATACATTTGCTATTTAAACAACACGGCGCAGGATGGTAAAATGAGAACTGCGTCTGGCTGAAACTAGCAAAAATACTTGCGCCGCATGTATGATAGGACCCTATGTTTTTGTTGGTCAATGGCGCAATCTATTTCAGTTGCCTCAAAATAGCAACGCGCCAGCAATGCGCCTGCCCTGAACACACCTCGTTTTTAGACCAGCACGCCCATGAAGGCAGAAATGGGTGCAAATGCATTTGCTATTTAAACAATGTGGCGCAGGACTTGAAAATGAAAACTGCATCGGGCTGAAACTAGCAAAAAAACACTTGCGTCACGCCTGGTGCCGCATTGCGCTAGGTGTATGATAGGGCCCTATAAAACTAATAGCAGCACCTTCTCAACACTATCTGTAGCACAAGCAGACATGTTATTCGCTGAAGTTTGGTATGATTTCTCATGTTTTCGAAAAGCGTCTCATGCTCACCGAGGCAGCATTTATTTGATAAATTAATTAATTAATAAATAGCAGTAATATTGTGAAATATTATTACAATTTAAAATGACCTTTTCTATTTTAATATATATATTTTTTAAATGGCATTTATTCCTGAAATGGCAAAGCTGAATTTTCAGCATCATTCCTCCAGTCTCCAGTGTCACATGATCCGTCAGAAATCTGAACAAAGAATATTTCTTATTATTGTCAATGTTGAAAACAGTTGTGCTGCTTAATATTTTTGTGGAAAACCTGATACATTTTTGTCAGGATTCTTTTATAAATAAGTAACATTTTATATGTTAACTGTCCAAAGTGTTACCCGTTTACCTATAAACAAAAAATATTTCACTGAAACCTTACCTTTGCTACTTCATCAATCGCACAGATGAGATTAGCACACGTGGTAAAGATCTCAACAGCTCTGGATCGAGTGCGAATACTGTAAACCTGCAACAGTAACACAACACTGTTATTGTCAATAACATACATTACACATGACTGTCCCAAAAGCAAGGACTGTACTGTGTTTTTAAGCTGAGTATAATAATACCTCTGCCATGGTAAAAATCTTGTACATTTGAGGCAAAATGACAGGTGCAACATCCGGCATCTGAACATCAGTCACCTCTCGGGTAAATTCTATGAAACGCATAATAATATGTTGCTTAGTAATATCACAAAAACATCGTCACTTGTTGTAACTGCGAGAAAGAGGTGTAGATGTTCAGAGTCATTACCTGTGAGGACCCTCATGGCGCCGTGTACAGCGTTAACATCTCCACTGGCCAGCATGTCCATGAGGAGCTTGAAGAGCCCAGGCCAAGCTTCAGGCCAGTCCCAGTGTGCGATAGCCGACAGGGCATAGGCCACGCTGGAGCGCACCTTACTGATGGCCTCCCGCAAACCACTTGGCAGAAGCTCACGGATTGCAGCTTTGGCCTGAACAGAAAGGGATATGGGAAACAAATTAACATAATGCCACATCTCAGATAACATCATATCTAAACATAAATACACAGTTCACTTCTTACCCATTCAGTCGTCTCTGGGGGCCTGTATTTCTCTGACTGGGCACACCAGTGAGTCTCAACATACTGCTTCAGAATGACAGAGGCCAACTACAAGAGTCACATAGCAAACAAATTAAGCAAATCTAACAATAATAATCAAATACTTGTTTATCTGCTCATTTATGCTGAAAATATCTAGTCTTACTTGGCGAATAGCAAGTGCTCCGTGTGGGTCGACAGTGAGCTCTGCAAGGTGAACTCCAAACTCTACAAAACAGGAGCACAAATAACCACTAGCACGTCAAAACTGTTTACAGATTGAAATAGACGTAGTTTCCAAGCACAACCAACAATCTGTCTGATTAACAATAAGTTAACAAGCTAAGACCACAAATGCATTAGAAGCCAAGTCAGATGAGTACAATAAAAAATCTGCTGACAGCGGTGATGATAGGTGTCTGTGCTTTTTTCATTTATATCCCTCGCACAGATATGCGAAATGTCTAGTCCCTCTGAAATGGAGAAACACACCACTGGTGCTTTTTGTATTTGGTCTGCAGCAGTTGCCACAGGGTGAGCCAGCAGCACGCCGTGATCGTATAGTGGATAGTACTCTGCGTTGTGGCCGCAGCAACCCCGGTTCGAATCC